TTATTCAAGCCGATTATCAAGGGAGACGAACTCCACACGGAAATAAGGTTTATATATTGAATATATATAGGCTAAATAGCACTTACATACCTTATAGTTTTACCTACTTTAGATTTATATACCTCAAGTTATAAAACGTGGCAATTAAATAATCCAACTTGTTTAAACATGGAACGCTAACACCTTGAGTTACTTAAACATGAGAATGCTCTCAAGAGTATCCTCATAAGGTGGACACATGCCAATTATACATTTCTTTTACCCCCCATTTATTGTTGTGTTTACAATTTGGGAACTTTAATTTTAACCAAGGGTGATTTGGTCTTTAACACAACAAAATTAACTCCGTATAGTGGAGAGTAACTCAGGGTATTTAATTGCTACGCTTCCAACAACTTAGAGTATATAAGTGCAAAATAGGTGAATCTATAAGGTATCTAAGGGCATCTCCAACAGCTTCTCCAAAATTTTCTCCAAAATGGGGAAGCAAAAGTCATATTCTCCAACTAATTTTTACACAAACTCCAACAGCTTCCCTATTTTGAAGAATCCATTTTTTCCTCTAAAATTTTAGAGAATGCTGCAGATTTGGGGAAGCTTCCCCATTTTTTCTCCTCCATCCCTATTTTGAGGAATGAGATGGGGAATCTGTTGGACCAAAAACCTAACTAAATTCTCCAAAAATAAAAAATGAGGAAGCTGTTGGAGATACTCTAAGAGCTATTTAGCTTTATTGTGACGTGAAAAAAAAAGGCTAATACTACTGAGGATTGACTGATCCGTTATGTATTTTCGGAAACAAGGTGTTCACATTACATACAACAACGTTGAGTATTTTTTTAAAAAAAAAACTTCAGAGTCCAAGTAGAAGCCCATTAACGTGGGCTTTCGTATTAGCCCAACTAATGGATGGCCCAGATGCTTTACTTCCTCACCGGGCGATTAACAACGCAGCACCTGTGTAATTATCGTATACGGATCGATGTACCCTTGTCCATACGACCCACAAGTCAACCGTCCAAAATCTGCAACCCAACCACACCAACGGCCGGATCTCTGCGCAGGCCCACCTAAATCCAGCAGCCGGCCATCACGTGAGAAGCACGAGCACGGACCCCATCCATAGAGCCCCCCGAGGCCCGAACCCCAAACTTCTTTTTGCAAAAAAGCCCAAAAAAAAATCGCCAACCACCTCTTTCTAGAGAGAGAGAGAGAGTGGGGGAGGGGGAGCGCGAGGAGAGAGAAAAGTTTTCCCAAAATGGGCAACAAGAGGCAGCCAGTGGAGACGAAGAAGGCGAAGAAGAAAGGGCGCCCCTCACTCTTGGATCTCCAGAAGCGCAGTCTCCGCCTCCAAAAGCAGCAGGAGGAGCAGAATCGAAACCCTAACCCTAACCCTAGCAATCCGAGCCGCAACTCGAGCCCTAGCCTCAAATTTGCTACGAGGAGGAGCACGAGGCGAAATCCTAACCCTAGCCCTGGCTTGGAGGAGGAGGATGACGAGGAGGAGGAGGAGGAGGAGGAATCCAATGGGAAGCGCAAGGAGAAGAAGCTCAAGCTCGTCCTGCGGATCCCTAACGGATCGGATTTGGACGGATCGGGCCCCGGATCGGACGCTGACGGCGGGGGATCGCGGAAAAAGAGAAAGATCGGCGCCGTTGAGGTGGGAACCAAATTGAGCTATTAATTGAACTCGTTGGTTTTTAGGGTTGCGAGATCCGAGGCTGTTCGTGTGGGTTTTGTGTACGGATCGGGAATTTATGCTCTTAGGTTTCGTAGATTGAGAAAGGTTAACGTTGATTTGACTTGGTCAACCGCCAGCATAGCTTCTTGAAGTTTGGGGGTTTATTTAATTCAACAGTTTTCTTACTTTATCTGTAGAAATTACCTCTAGTTTTCGCGAAAAGTTCCCAACTTTGTCCACGTCCTTCGTTTTCTTTTAGGTTTTGCCCCTATTTTGGGTCTTTTTGACTGATTTGGGGATATTGGTTACCTTGTCAGCAGACAGCAGCACAAAATTCCAACTCGAAAGCGACGGATGAAGAAGCTCCTGCAGGTTTGGATTCGTGGAAAGGGCGAGTTTTTATGGTTTGCTAGCGGTTATTTGTTTGTTTTTATGATTAGTTTAATTGATTCTGGAACAGGGAATCAATCAGATTCAGGGCCCACTACGCCTCTGCCTGATAAAAAGTTGTTGGTGTTCATCCTTGACAGGCTTCAGAAGTGCGTAGTTGGTGATTTCTTTTCTCATTTTAATGTCACCCTTTTGTTTGCTTTTCATTTCCATGTATCTTTTGTGCTTTTGATGTCTTATCATAGCTTGCTAACCCCAGGAAGGACACTTATGCCGTGTTCTCTGAACCTGTGGATCCCGAAGAGGTAAGAGATAGGAATTTTTTGGAAGAGTTATGGGTTGGGTTTTTGGATTTTGAACTTAATGGTGTATTGTGGTTGATTTATGCAGTTGCCGGATTACCATGACATCATCAAGCATCCGATGGATTTTGGAACAGTTCGGAAGAAACTAGATAGTGGTGCTTATGAGAACTTGGAGCAATTTGAGGTCGGTTGTAGTATAGATATTTAAGGGTTATGATTTTCTTAACCCTTTTCTCAGTGAAAATTTGGCTTCATTCTTATCATAAGACTTTTTCCCCCCATTTTATACTTATTCTTAAAATTGCTTGCTGTTTTCTGGTTCTCTTTTTAGTAGTTTGAGTTTGTGTCTTTCTGTCCCGCTTTACTTGCACAGCCCTGTTGACGTGTTGGTTTCTTTTTCCAAATGTTTAAAAATTAGTAGTTATTATTATAATGGTTAAAATGTGGGTTGTGAATTTTTGTTTCTCAGCTAAGAGAAATGCAAAGTATATGGCTGCTTAGAAAAATATGTATTTTCTTTTCGATGGTGTCCTAGCTTTCATGGTTCTTTTATGATCTCAACTCCATTCTGTATATGTTTTTGCTTATGTAAATTCTGTGTCTGAGTAATGGTTTTCATCTAACTGTCCTATATTTGGATTAGACTCCTGCCGCAAGCTTAGATCATTTATTATCTCTTTCTATTGCTTTCAAGAGCGCCTGTTCTTCAATGGCCCGAGTTTAACTTTTGCTGGCCCTTTGTGATCCTTTACTGAATAAAAACACGTGTTATGAGTTACTTCCATACAGCCCTTAGTTTGTTGTGATTAGCAGCACCAGCAGCAACAACAACTACTACAAAGTTTATCTTTTTTCGTTTTGTTTCTTTTTTTCCATTTCAATTACACATGCTGTGTAGTTGATGGGATTGCTTCTGAAAGTGGAAATGTATAGTTGGATATTTTAATGATGGCAATATCTAGGTAAGTATTGCTTGTCGGTAGGGGTTTGTGGAAGGTTGCTTTCAATCTTATTAAATCACTGAATTTGTTATTGTCTGGCTGTTAATGTTTAACAATATTTTATCGTATCGGAATGACAATTTATGGTCTCATATTGATTCCATAGGCTATTTTTTGGATATTGTTTTACCATTCTAGTCAAAAGGAAATGAAGTGTGCAGGAAGCCTATGTGCTTAGGGCAAGGAATTGGTCTTTCTGTTATTTATAAACTCAGAAAGACAGTTATTCTATGCAAAAGGAGTTGGTCGTGTGATAAAGAACTCCATGAGCTTCACTGATGTTCTCATTAATAATCCTTTAGTGTTTTGTATTCCGAAGTAATGTTGGATATGCCTACAAAACCAAGCTATGGTATCTACGTATGAGCGAGGATATGATTTTCTATGAGAGATGAGCTGTGCATACCTTTGGAACTGTGGCAAGCTACATTGATGAACTTAGCAGATTTGGTATTATGTCTATAGGTGATTGCTGTTATTTAGGTTCCATAAAAAACCATCTGAATCTTGCAGTTCATGAATATGGTTTTATGTGAGATGAATTCTTACTGGAAAAGGATGATTTTCAGACGAAGAGGAGAAAATGAGTCTTCAGGCTGTTTGTTGGTGTTCTCAAATGTTAGAATTGAAGTACTAGTAAGAGGGTCGATTCTAAGGTTAAAGAAGAAAAGAGTGAATGCTCTGTATGGAAACAGGCGATGAGAACAAAAGGAATCAAACTTGGAATGGAAGGAGGGAAGACTGAGAGCTAAGTTTGAACAAATGGTTAAGCCTTTGAATCCTGACATTTTTGCAGTTCAATGTAACACGTATTCACTGGTTCTGAATTAATTGGCAACAGCTCAAACCTTGACCTGTTTCATGTTCAATGCATGTTTGGGAAATGTCTGGTACGTAGCCAACTTGGTTAGTTGGTGTTTGAAATTTGCCTAACCTGAATTTCCTTCTTCAAGGCCAGACATACATCCAGTGCATTTTAACATGTATCTATTTGGTATCTTATTTATGTCCATATTCATGAATATAATCAATTATATAACATGCCAGTGCAACCTAGGCTTCTAGATTTTGTATAAGATTTGCTTATGACTTGAGATGGCAATGACACGTGTAGCCAAAATGTTATTATGCATCGTTGTTGTGTCACTTCATGTTGCATATTATGGTTTCCATAATCATACTTCTCATGCCATCGTAATGGGGCTGTTTAAGTGCTCAAAGTTCTTTTTTGTAACCCCTTTAAAGCTCATATGGTACCTTCCATGCCTGTTTGAACCATGTCAGTAATTGGGATTGTAATTGTTGTTAATTAAGTTTGCTGTCATTTGACTTTATTTTAACATGTGCTTGCAGAGCGATATCTTCCTAATAAGCTCAAATGCTATGCGATACAATTCGCCTGATACGATTTATTTTCGGCAGGTATTGTTGTGTGTGCAGTTTCTTTAAGTGAAAACTTTTATTTTTATTTTTTGGGTTAGAACGTGAAAGCAGTAATGTCGTGGGGTTTTTTTTTTGTCTCTATATCTTCTACAGGCAAGGGCCATTCAAGAACTTGCAAAAAAGGACTTTGAGAATTTAAGGCAGGAGAGTGATGATGACGAGCAGGAACCAAAGACTGTACGAAGGGGTAGGCCGTCAGTCAAGAACCTTATGAAGCGAATTGGCAGACCTCCAGCTGATCGTACTGGGTCTGATTTTTCCTCTGATGCCACGCTTGCTAATGCTAGAGATGGTGTTCATGGCTCTAACTTGACCCGTGATGTAGCAAGGAAAGGATCATCCACTGACAAGCCAAGCGTCATGGATGCGAGTAGAGGGAATAACCAGCATAAATTAGAGAGAAATGAAGAATATTCAGGTCTGTCCAACAAACGAAGACTGGATAGTGAACACCCTTCTATGAGTTCAGTTTTCTATTTGGTTGCTAAGAATTTGAAACCCACTTATTATTTACTTTTCTTTTTTTAAGGTTCGCCATTGAAAGGTATTCCAATGAGACATTGGAAGAAAATTTCAGTTATAGATGAGAACCGCCGAAATACATACAACGAGCCCCTACAGCCTACCGGCTTTCAGGAGCCTCCAATTTTAACTGCTTTTGATGGAGACAGGAAGCTGCTTATGCCAGTAAGTGGCAAATTATAGGTGTAATTTTTTTCAGCTGTATGGTTTTAGTCAACAACTATTACCTACTTGCTAGTAGTTACTTCTGTTTGGTTTACAAAATATCTATATCATTTGTACAAGATATACATTTCCAAGTTTGAGAGTACTGTAGGTTATTTGATTCAAATCTGTCGCTGCAGTTCTTAGTGCATCTTGTTCTCAATGTTATCTCTATTTTGGATGCTCCTCTCAATTATATATTATGTCGTGTATTGTCTCTATTACTTTCATTTTCAATTAGTTCCAATCTGTTATCTTTCGCTTCATGCTCTAGATTTTGACCTTTAATCTCTATTGGAACACCAGGTTGGGCTTTACATGGAACATGCATATGCCCGAAGCTTGGCACGGTTTGCTGCAAACCTTGGCCCTACCGTCTGGGGAATTGCTGCAAAAAGAATCGAAAGAATACTGCCCCCAGGGACAAAGTTTGGTCCTGGGTGGATTGGGGAGAGTGAAGAACCAAATAAATTTCACCCACCGCTACTGTCATCATCTCCATGTTCCTCGTCTCAAGTAAAAACATCGCATGTTACTACAGTATCAGGTGGAGAGCAACACCCAGAAAGTCGCGAACTGGTCCCAAATAACAGTACTGAGAGTAGTGATCTGGTAAAAAATGAAAGCAAATTTGGAGTATCGAGTGGCGATATGCAGCCTAACAACACCTTGCAGGTTTGTCAGAACTCAACAATGCAACATTTGAGGAATGGTTTTAACCCTAACTCTGGCTATGTGTTCAACCTCCAATCTCAAGCAATGAAGATGATGCAGCATATGAAATCTCCAAATCATGTGCTCGATATGGCGTCTAGGAGCAGAGTCAACAACAGTTTTGTGAAGTCTCACCCTCCCCATACACAACCCGTTAAAGAAGAGAAATCAAGGTTAGTGGTGGAAAATTCAGATGCAGTGAACTCAGGTAGCTCTAATTCTGAAGGGCAGTGTCAGGTTTCACCATTGAATACAAAGCCTGGCTTGATTCCACCGGATTTGAATGCGGACTTCCGTTCTCCTGGGTCACCGGTCTCAGGCGTGCTTGCAGATTCAAAGCAGAAGCAGCCGCATTTGGCACTGCAGCTGTAGAGATTATTATTCTCTTTTGATTTTTTCCGTGGAAATTCATCCTCGTGTGGGTGTTGCACCCAATTTAACTGTTGGGGTGTCATATTGATTAAAAATCAGCTTTATTTATGTAAGGTAGGAGGGAGGGATAAGAGAGTGGTTGGGTTTTGTACAGGATCCTAATCCTAATGTGATCTAGCGGGGAGTTTGCAGTTTGCAGCTGAATAAGCTGGCAGCTCATTTGTAGCATTAAAAAGAAATCCATAATATATAGCTGTATCAGTAGAAGATTCAAAGCCTCCAATTCCTTTTCAGAAGTTATTGTGCTTGTACTATTGTGACCGTTTAACATGTACGCGACCGAGAATTAATTGACGCTGTCAGCGGAACATTTCTCACCAACTTTGATACGTATGTATAGAAGAGAGGATGGATATTTCATGTGCTGAACGTACGTTTGTTTGTTTGACGCACCTCGTATGTGCTCTTAAGCTGTGCAAGTTTGTGTTTACGAATCTATGATGTTCTTCTTTGTAATTCAGAATTTATGAGGGGTATAAACAGACCGTAGATGCGCAAGAGAATATAACATTTTATCAGCCGAGCCAAAGGTTACCCGCTGGAAATGCGTTTTCCCCAGGTATGGTATAGTGGAAACTCGAGGAGCATGAAGCGTACTTTCTGCAAGATTTGGACATCGGTTTGCATGGAGAAGGTTGATATCTTGACGCGCAACAAGGGTTCAGCCTTTTAACAGTGTTTATGATGCGTCAAAAAGAGCCTGTTTCCTCAATAATCATAGACCGTCACAGTGTCCCTAATGATTCCAACCCCAACCCAAACTGTTGAACTTGAAATATCCGACCGACTGACAACGACGTAGCTCACCTTGCTTTCGACTTGGTAGTTCAAGGCCTTCACCTAGTCGGCAGAAAGATGATTCTACATCATAATCCTACATAATTTTCGCTTAATTTGTTGTTCGCGCAGGGTCCGCGGACGAGCTCGAGATTTCCAAAAGCACCCCCGGCACCAATTTATAAATACAGATCAACGCACTTTGCAAGCGGAATCAACAGCCAGAAGAAACATACAAGAAGCCAACAAAATACTAATTGCTTGTCGAAGCGGCAGATTTGGCATCGCCACATCCAGAACGACCCAAAGCAACCGAATCGAAGAACACATAATTCTGTCAACCACGACTCTGCTACTTTAGCACAATAAAATAATATCATCCATCTCCATAACATCACAAAGTTACATCCAAACAGAAACAAGATCTAGAGAAAGAAAAGAGTATTGCATATGACAGAAGCTCTGCTGATGTGCTAAAGAGGCAGGCAAAAAATGACGTCAACCTCTTATAGCTCTCGTACCATTATGATCCGCTGCACTCACTGTCTGAATCTTGATGCAGCCTTCCTCGCCTCCTCAGGGGTAGACGGGAACAGCTCCACATACCTCGATCCAATCGTCATCTTATCCTTGCACATTGCGCTCTTCGCCACTTCTGCGGATGGAAACTCAGCATAAGCCTCTCCAGTTGCCTTGCCATCAGAACGGCGTGCAATCTGCACTTTCTCCTCGCTCAGCTCATAGTCACCAAAGAACTCGACTATGTCAGACTCTGTTGTTGAGTAGGGAAGCCCCCGGAGCTTGAGCACCGCGGTGTACTCCATCTTTTCTTTATCCTCGTCTGCAACAGCCTTTTTTGGACGGGGTGGAGGAGACGCACGACGGTACTCCCCGTTGTTGTCGGTCACCTCGTTGGCAATGGCTTGGTAGTAATCCTGCTTCTTGCATCGGAAGACTTCAACATACCTCCGGCCCATGTTTTGCCTGTTCCTTTCAAGAGCCATTTCGGCCTGCATAGGGGATGAGAAGACAACAAAGGCCTCACCAGAGAAACGGCCGTCCTTGTTTACCAAGAGGCAGTCAACAACATCCAGCCCTGCAAAGAATTTGTGGACGTCGAGATCCTCACAATTGAAGGGCAGGCCTCGGAGACGAACTACAGGGAAATTGTAAATGGTGTTGATGCTGCCACTGCCTCCACCGATGCTACTGCTGCCTCCGCCGATTCCATAGCCGCTGAAAGATGGGTAGAAGCTGCTTGCTGGTCCAGGAAAGTAGGGGTTGACAGGTGGATCCATCATCCGCGACCTCTTTGACCCAATGTCTGCATCGTACCCATCGGGAACGCCTCCGCTGATGCCACTGCTCACTGCGAAGTAGGGATTTGAGTTCGTCATTCGTTGCCTCTTTGTGCCCTCGTACCCGTCTGAAAACCCCCCGCTCCCCATCATTGCCCTTCAAATTATTCAAATCCCAAGGAAAAAAAACCCTTTGACACTCAATCCCCATCCAATAAACAAACCCAACCGACAACTTTAAGATCTTACCTGATAGCTATCTACCATACAGTTATCTACCAATTTGTTATTTCTTACTGATTAAAAACATACTATATTCCCAAATATTCTAATGGCAGAAAAAGAATGAACCAAGAGACTAGGTGAAAAACTATTAACTAACAAAATGAATTTCAGTAAAAAGAACATTAAATGAAAGATGAATTAAGCATGAAAACAAGTGCACTATATATTAACAAATAGACGAACTTATCAAAGTGTACATGTTAACAAACAAGTGCACTATAAATTACCTGCTTAGATGTTTCCAGAAACAATAATTCAACAAACACATGCAAGAGAGAGAAATATGATTGAACAAATAAGAAGTAACAGAAGGTAAAGAAAAGAAGGCACATAAAAGATGTTGAGAAGTCAACAAGAAATATGCTCAAGGACAAACTCTGTCTGAACGTTATGACGACCAAGGTCAACAACAGTAAAATCACTGGCAATGCACCATGACCTACTCAACCAATGACCTTACAAGTAACCAACTTTGTATGTGGAATTTAACATATCAAAAGGCTATGGGTCATGAAAGGGCTGACAATCAACAAAGGAAACTACTAGTGTGATTGTCTCAGCAACAAAAGGATAAGATGTTACTCATTGTGACAAGGAGGAGATCGTATTGTTTATATTCTTGAAGATAGCAGTTTATATTCCATGAATGTATTATACTAAGCAATATTTGCAAAACGTGATAATTACCAAGCAGAATGAACATTCTAAATCCTCAGTCCAAAACATACGACAAGAACAAATACTTTCTGGAGAAACAGTTCGAGCCAAACAGCAAACTAGAATTGTAGCATTGCTGTAGCCAATATAATAGTCCATGTAAATAAAAAGACTGTAGTAAATGGAACCTATACATAAGTAACACAGCCCAACCTAAGTAGACTGATCACTGTATCTAAAGACCATTATATGTAAAAGTGAGATTTGCAATGCTTAATACAATTAACCTAATCCTTTTAAGTGAGACAACAGAATTTTGCCAAACAAGATTTATTCCGAAATGGGAATCAAGCATCCAGAATTCTTAACATGATAACGGCAAACAAGAAAATGGTAAGTCAATTGCAACATAACAGGTCTGCACCCTACACTCAACCAAATTTTCCTGTGTCGAGAAACTATATTTGTCCCTTTTTCAAACATGACAGTCCTCAAGGATCTTTTAAAAAAACACTCCAAACTAGGTTAATTGAAACCTAGTTTGTTTCCCCACTTAAGGGATGTTTGTTTGCAAATGAAAAATGAAAGTTTGAAAATGACACTTTTAATACTTTGTGTTCTATTGAAAGTAAATATTAAAGGTGAAATGGAAAAAATTGTCCATGTCAGATTTAATGCACGTTAAACCTCCCCTAAACATGCCGAAATCAATCTGCAAGTTAAAAGTTGGGAACTGCTATAGATTTTTTTTTAAAAAAACATTAGAGTATATTTGTATTGCTATCTTCCAAACTATAATCTATTTTCTATTTTCTATTTTCTTTGTCCGGACATTTTTTTCACCGCCAAGAGTTTCTCTGTTAGCAGTGCTCATTATGATTCATTCTTCTTGCTATACATTTTTTGCTGCTTATCCTTTCTCTTCAGTCATCTTCATGATCATCTATCTTCCATAACTGCACTAGCATTCACCATTTCACTATGAAGCAAATGCAACCTAATTTCTAAATTGACGAAATATATAAACTTCTCAATCATTTCTGAAATATAACCCCAAACTAGTTTTTAAACGAACGAAAAATATATATACTTCTCATTCATTTCCGAGATCTAACTCCAGGCCTCTCTCATCTCTGGAAACAATTGACAATGGCTGATCACAGGACCACCTTCTGTGCATCTTTGTCGCAAAATTTTAGATCCTTGGACACATAGATGCTGTTGAAGGAGATTACTTTTAACCTACTGAGCAAGCCGAAGACAAAGTTACTAGGCCTACCACACTCCTAAGAAAGTCTCCATGAAGGAACACATTCTTTACATCTAGTTGGAAAAGTTGCCTGATACCATAATAGTTTGCAGACTAATTTTCTTTTTGGACTATGCATTCTCTACGCTCAAGAAATGAGTTAATCGCCAATGTCTAGTATACGTGTTCTTTATTTTATTATTGGTTCTTACATTTATGTCATATTAGTTTCATTAAGGAAGTAGCCTAGCTCAATTGGGTTCATCTCCTCTCCTTTCGGTTGAGTAGCTTTTTCGCTCCTTTTCTTCTTTTAATGTAATAGCAAACAAGCAGATTGCCTGCAGGTTATTCGACATATTCAAATATAGACTTTAATTAATCTAAGACAATAAGAGATTGCAGACGAGTTTTTTCCGCATGACCAATCATATATTAATTGTAATATTCTCATTTTCAAGTTGCTTATAAAAATATCTTTCCTTTCCAGTTTTCTTAATTATACTAGATGGTTCACAAAACTATTACAAACATAATATAGCTACTATATGATTAAAATAGTTAGAAATAAAATACAAAATAAATATAATACATATAACAAATAGTTTCTGAAAACTAGTATGAATAATAGGCGAAAGTATCACAAGTAGAAATTAACACAAACATACATCTTAGTCAAATAAAGCAGTGATTTTACCTTTTGTATGTGTCAAGTGTCCTCAAAAGTGTCCTAGGCCGCCTAGGCATATGCACTACTGCCCCCGCCTAGAACCAGCCTGAGTAGCAGTTCTAGGCGATGGAACCGCCTAAGCAGCACCTAGGCCTAAGGCTAGGCGGACCGCTTAGCTTTCAGAAAAAAACTTTTATAAAACCTAACC